GACAGCTGTCGTAGAAACTGCAAGGTATATGTATAGTTCCTCTCCTGGTATGGTTCGAGACAGTAGTGGGGGAGAACTAAGGTATTGCTTTAGTTCTTTGAACGCCTGCTCACACTCTGGGGTCCATTCAAACGCATTCCTTAGCACACGAAAGAAAGGTAGACACCTGTCAGTTGACCGAGAGATTAGCCTACTCAAGGCAGCAATCTTCCCTGTTAGTCATTGTAGATCCTTGGTTGATCTTGTCGATCTCATGTCAATGACTGCTCGGATCTTCTTTGGATTGGCCTCAATTCCTCTTCTGCTTACCATATATCCCAAGAACTTTCCTGAGGAAACCCCAAAGGCACACTTGCTGGGGTTGAGTTTCATCTTATGCCTCCTAAGTACCTCGAAAGTCTCCTGCAGGTCAGTCAAATGGTCTTCAGCTTTTAAGCTTTTCACCAACATGTCATCAACATATACCTCCATGTTTATACCAATTTGATGCTTAAACATTGCATTCACTAGCCTTTGGTATGTTGCACCAGCGTTCTTGAGCCCAAACGGCATTACTTTGTAACAGTACAAACCTCTATCAGTGATGAAGGCCAGTTTTTCTCTATCTGAGGTGTACATAGATATCTGGTTGTATCCAGAATATGCATCCATGAAACTTAATAGTTCGTGTCCAGCCGTTCCCTCAACGAGCATATCGATTCTTGGGAGAGGAAAGCTGTCATTCGGGCAAGCTTTGTTAAGGTCGGTGAAATCCACACATAGCCTCCACTTTCCATTTGCCTTCTTCACTAAGACCACATTTTTCAGCCAGTCGGGGTAGTACACCTCTTGAATAAAGTCGACTTTTAAGAGTTTTTCCACCTCTTCTGATATAGCCTGATTCCTTTCTGGAACGAAAGTCCTCCTCTTTTGTCTGACAGGTTTAAAGTCAGGATTTACATTTAAGCGGTGCTCCATGATAGTGGGGTCTATACCCAGCATGTCTTCATGGACCCATGTAAATACGTCTCGATTCTTCCTGAGGAATTGAGTAAGTTTATCTTTGATACCTGGGGGGAGTAAAGACCCTATACTCAATTTTTTCTCGGGCTCACCGTCACCAAGGATGACCTCTTCTAGCTCCTCTGTAGGTTCCGCTCTATGAAAGTCTGGTCTATCTTTCCCTTCCAGCCCTTCAATCGTAAATGCCTCTTACGATTTTGTTTTTCTAAGAGAGGCAACATAACATTCGCAAGCCATTGTTTGGTCCCCTCTTAGCTCTCCTATACCATATTCAATTGGGAAGCGCATCAGGAGATGGTAAGTGGACGTGATTGCTTTCATGGCATTCAATGTTGTCCTCCCCAGGATAATATTGTATGATGATGGGCAGTCCACCACTACAAAGTCCACCATTACAGTGACCTGCTTTGGATTGGCTCCTGCAGTAACTGGAAGGGTAACTGCCCCCAGTGGATGTACTTTATCGCCTGAAAATCCCACCAGTGGTGATTTCATGGGTCGGAGCTTTTCTCGGCCAATTTTCAATTTCTCATATGCCCAGGGGGTCATCATGGGGCTGGTGAAGTCCCTTGTCATTTTCTTCAGAAAAGGTTATGACCGGCTCCTCAACTCGAGGTAATTTTGTTAGAGGACTTGTCATTCCAACTTCATTCACCTCTGAAAAACTCCGAATACTCCTAGCATGAGCCCTCCGAGCCGAACTCGTCTCACCACCACCAGCGAAGCCACCCGATATAACTTTGATCTCACCCATTGGTTGGTGTTGAGGAGGGCGATCATCTCGGCCCTCCCGGGCTGGGTTGGAGCCTCCTTTTCCATTTCCAGTTATGAATTTGCGTAAATATCCTTTACGAACAAGGTTCTCGATCTGGTTTTTGAGGTCGAAACAATCTTTTGTGTTATGTCCATGGTCCCGGTGAAACCTACAGTATTTACCTAGAGACCTCTTTGTTGGATCAGCTTTTAGCTTTGGCGGCCATTTCAATGATGCGTCATCTTGAATCTACAGAAAGACTTGATCTACAGATGTATTTAGGGGGTATAGTTGTTATACCTGCCTGGGCTCACTCGGCGGCGAGACGATCTGTCAGCCTGGTTATTTGAGAATTTCTTGTACTTCGATTCCTTTTCCTCCCTAGTGTTAGGTGCTGGCCTCTTCTTCTCCGACCTCTTATCTTCACCATTTTTATTTTTTCGTGCATTCATAGCATCCTCAGCATTCATGTACTTCCATGCTCTAACCATCAACTCTGTCATGCTTGTAGGGGCTTCTTTTGATAAGGAAAATAGGAACTTAGAAGTCTGTAGTCCTCCCATAAAGGCTGTAAGGGCAACCTTGTCGTCCACCTCTTCTACCTGCAGCATATCAGCGTTAAAACGACTTATGTAACCACGGAGAGGCTTTCCCTTCTACTGTTTCACATTCAATAAGTGTGTTGCTGTCTCCTATGCCTCTGCCCAGCGATGAAGTGTCCAATGAATTGTTTGCTCAACTCATTAAAGATTTCAATGGAGCCTGGCTTTAATTTATTGAACCAAGGATGAGCCCAACCCTTTAGTGTGGTAGGGAAAGCCCTGCACATAATCTCATCCGGTACGACTTGTAAATACATAAGAGCTTTGTAGGTCTCCAAATGATTGAGAGGGTCCCGCGTCCCATCGAAGCTCTCAAGAGTTGGCTATAGGTCTCCAAATGATCGAGAGGGTCCCGCGTCCCATCGAAGCTCTCAAGAGTTGGCATATTAAATTTGCTAGGTAGAGGACAACTCATAACATAACAGCGAGGCTAAATGCTAGGTTGGCCTTCTGTACCAGATCGTTCACTGTGGCCTGGCCCTTCCCTTTCATTGCTTGCATGACGTCTTTGACCCTAGTTCTCAGATCTTGCATCTACAGATTGAAATAAGTGACGTCTTCAGTCTTGTCACTAACACAACCAGAGGTACCTGCACGGAGCCTGGTATTATTCCGTTCAAGAGACCGATGGTGATGGCTTCTCTGTTGACCCTCTATTTGACTAAGCTCAGCGTCGTTGTCAATCCTACAGGAGTCATTCTTGGGTACTTCATTATTCTCCACCTCATTAAGGGCGGCTAAGCATTGTAGAATCATTGAATTTTTCTAGACTAATTGGTTCATTCCCTTATTTAGGGTTTAAACCTGTTGTTCCAACGCTGTGACGCGTTCCTGATCGTTTGGGACGACGGGGGGTTGCCTCATCGAGTCCCCTTGATCAGAAGTTTGCAACGCTTCGTATTCGCCAGCAACCAGACCAGATCGCAATCGAACCATACTTTATTTAGAGAACTAAAATCGTTCCCATAGACGGCGCAAACTGTTGATGATGGATTCTGCGCAACCTGGATCTGATCTAACTTCCTGAATAAAGAGAAGAAAAAGTGATCCTACAAACACCGGTGTGTTACCGGTGGAGTAGGCTCCGACGAACAAGTCAGTGTGAATAATAATCTCCCTGGAGAAATCGAGAAATTGAGTTAGGGTTTATTGCGTACCTCAAAACGTTGATTCCCCCGCCTTTTTTATAGGGCTTAGGTTAAGATGTCATGTAGAATTACCTTATTGTAATCTGTAGACTTAATCCTCATCGTAATCTTTAATCCTTATCACAATCTTTAATCCTTATCGTAATCTGTAAAGCCTATCTCAATCTGTAATCCTTATCGTAATCTGCAGAGCCTATCTCAATAGTGCGTTAATTTAGTAATCTTCCCTTAATTATGGATATTTAAATTATACATCCATCACTATGCATATGGGGTAAGATTGGTAGCCAACTAGGTTTGACAAAAGAAGAATTTACAATTGAATTCTATATACTGAGTAATAGATTACTCCCTCCGTCAGTTTATGAAGTGGACAATAAAAAAAGGACGAAGAGAGTACAGAAGAAGACACCCAAAAAAACATAGTGTGAAATTTCATTCCCTAATCTGGATGAGTTAGTTGTCAACCTTTGGCGGCCCCGCTCTATTTCCAACACGGAGGTTACAATGTCATCACATATATGAAAATCCCAAGCAATTGCAATACATCACAGGACAGAGATGGCTGACATGTTTTTTACATCATCCCAATGTATGATTTATGCTCCGTTTGATAGGAAGGAAGGAAAAGGGGTGGACAGAATATCGGAAGGGAGAAATAAATTTTCTTCGTTTGGTAGAAAGGAGGCAAAGAAAGAAGAGAAAAAAAGATGGATGAATCACCTTTCCTCCTTCACAAATTTTTATCACTTCAAGAAAAACAATACTATTATAAATATTTTTAAATTACAAAATTTGTATTATAATTAACACTTGTATAGTCATATTTTCTTTTCTTTTATTCATCTAAATAAAAAGAAGGAAGAATATAATCTCTTCCCTACAAATGTTTCTTTTATCTCTTATTCTCTCTTTCATTCAAATTTCTTCCATCCTACCACACTTCGTTTTGTCGCTCTCATACTTCTGCTTTAGCAAAGTTAGAATTTTTTTTTTCTTTCATTATTATTATTATTGTTATGGCAAACTATCAATCAATCCAGTGTTTATATACAATCTCAAAAATAGGAGAAAATATACCATATCTCATAAATATTTATTTCCCGAAATCTTGAAAACTTCTATTCCTTCACGAATCTAAACCACTTTTGTCAAAATTTGACCGAAAATATTTCTTTTGTTTTTATTTTGCACTGAAAGAGATAAGAGTAATTATGCAAAGAAGCTAATAGGCAAATCAAAAGGTGCAACAGTATTTAAACACATGACTGAATTAAAAATGTGGTGCAAAATTTTTCTTTTCTTTTTTATTAAAAAAAAAAAAGCTTGTACGGATCAGACCGTCAGAGAATATTATAACTACATTAAAAAATAATAAATCATAAATTAATATATATCAAATCCATGTCTTAAAATCGTCCTTGTCAGCTTAGCTCCTCCAAAATACTCTCTCTCGCTATATATATATATATATATTTTTTTTTTTTTCTCAGTTCTCACCTATCTCAACTACAAAATCTTTTCCTTTTAATTTAATGAAAAGGGAGGGGAATAAACAAGAAAGAGAAAAGAACGGAGAGACCTTTGGAGAGAAGGGAGGGACGTTTGGAGAGAGGATGAGCAGCTGCTATATTTGTACTATTTATATGTATATGCCTCTCATCAAATCTTTTTTTTTTTTTTTTTCAATTTTCTAATCCAGTTTCTTCATATGTTGAGTTTTAATTCTTCGACACTCACTCTGTTTCTTGATCACTATCAACTTCTCTAATTGGGTTTCTGATCTACATGAATTCTGGTTTTTCAGGAACAAAAAATTGCGTTTTGATTAATGCATGAAGGATCCGAAGTCCCTGGATTGAATTCCACAATACCCACGTTGTATTTGATCGAAGTCTTCACTGGGTTCTGTCTCATTTTCTGGATAAGGTATGATTTTACGTGCTTCATTGTCTTCTTATTCACATTTGGATCTGCTAAAATGGCTTTTGATGATGGGTTGTTCATTTCTTATGTGCTACAAGAATTAAAACATTCAATTCTGTATAATACAGATTGTGTCCAATGCAGAAATTATAGGTACTAAGAAGGTGTTACATACCAAGTAAATGGTAGAAAGTATTGTATTTTCTTTTCTGGCGAAGTAAATGATAAAATAAATGATAGAAAGTATTGAATTTTGTTTCTGGTGTTAAATTTGAACTTAGTTTCCATCTGCTAATTTTTTGTTGTTCAATTGAGAGACTGGAAATATGACTAATGTAGTGATTCAATGTGGGGATTGTAGAAAATATGGAACCAGATCTAGGTAAGGTCTTCATTGGTGGGATTTCCTGGGACACGGATGAAAATGGCCTTAAAGAATATTTTACTTCACATGGAGAAGTGGTGGAGGCAGAGATCATGAGAGATCGCATCACAGGTCGTGCTCGCGGTTTTGGTTTTGTTGTCTTTGCTGATCCTGTTGTTGCGGAAAGAGTGGTTAAGGAGAAGCACATTATTGATGGTCGAGCAGTAAGTAGTTTACTATTGATGATTATATAGTCAAGTGTTATTATATAATTTCACTAGTGAGGAACCTAAAAGTCCACATTCAAATTTGTGGTAATGTTGTTTCTTTCTGATTTGACACTCAAATCCAATTCAAATTCATAATGAAGTGAAAATTAAAATCGTTTGCAGCAAAAATATAATTGAGAAATTTGTTTGCAGCTCAACATTCTAGACTTATGAAAGATCAGTTTTTGTTTATATGCACGGGCAATCGATAATTCAGTATTCACCTTTTGATATTCATTTTATAGGCTTTCAATTTTTCAGGTTGAAGCAAAGAAGGCTGTTCCAAGGGCTGAGCATATTCTGAACAATAACAGCATTCAAGGATCTTCAGGTCCTGGGCGAACAAAAAAGATTTTTGTCGGAGGCTTAGCATCTACTGTGAAAGAGAGCGACTTTAAAATATACTTTGACCAGTTTGGTACCATTACTGATGTCGTAGTGATGTATGATCACAACACCCAGAGGCCAAGAGGCTTTGGATTCATCACTTATGATTCAGAGGAAGCAGTGGATAGGGTGCTGTATAAAACCTTTCATGAACTGAATGGTAAAATGGTTGAGGTCAAGCGGGCAGTTCCCAAAGAACTATCACCAGGGCCCAACAAGAGCCCTTTGCTTGGTTATAACTATGGTTTTATTAAGGCTAACAGCTTCCTTAATAGCTATGCTCAGGGTTTTAATATGAGCTCAGTCGGAGGCTACGGAGTCAGGATGGATGGTAGATTTAATCCGGTTAGTGGTCGTAATGGGTTCTCTCCTTTTGGCTCTCCTAGTTACGGAGTGGGCGTGAATTTGGACCCAGTGTTGAGCCCGAGCTTTGGAGGGAACTCCAACTTTAATAACAATCTTGGATATGGGCAGCTTTTGAGTCCTTGTTATAATGGCAATTCAAACAGATATAACACTCCTATTGGTTATGGTGCTGGCAATGGCCGTAATGGTTACCTTTTAAGCTCATCAGCTCGGAATATGTGGGGAAATGCTGGCCTTAACAATGTTACTAATTCTGCTAGCACTGGTGCTTACTTGGGCTTTGGAAGTGGGAGTTTTGGAGTCTCTAGAAGTGGAGCAAGTTGGGCTTCTCCTATTAATGCTCAAGGTGGCAGGATTACTTCTGGCCATGCCAATGGAACTGCTGGATACGCGGCTGGAGAAAACAGCTATGAGTTAGGTGGTGTATTTGGAAAAAACAGTGGCACAAGTGTATCTCGAACATCATCATTTGCTGCCTCAAACGGTGCTTATGAGGGGTCCTATGGGGACTTGTATTCCAGTGGTTCGGCATTTAGTGATCCAACTTGGCCATCTACATCTTCTGAGCTAGATGGTTCTGCTTCATTTGGTTATGGGCTCAGCAATGCAGCAGATGTCACAGCCAAAGGTTCTGAGGGTTATATTGGAGATTATAGTACTGCAGTTAGACAATCAAATAGAGGTAACAGTAACGCTGTTATACTTCAGTTAGTGTTTTGTATTATCATTTTCTTCACCAAGTTATCATGGAGGGTATCCTCATCCCGTGGGCGTTGGACAACTTCCAAGATAGAGGAGGCACAAAACCCATTTATTAGTTTAGGTTGAATATAGGAAACTAGATGTTTTAACTTCCACCAACTCAAATTTATTTGATCTGAAGGAAGCTATAATATTAGAAATAAGGTAACCCCTCTAGGATTCAACAAACCCCACCCCCACCCCCTTCTTCCCAATTTTTATTTACTTATTTAAAAAGAAAAAAGAAAAGAGAAATGCAAGAAAAATAGTGAAGCCATTCTCATATTCCATAAGATATTCTTTTCATCATATATAAACCTTAACCTTCAGTTCCTTGAGCCAACAAGAAAGATTTACATACTTCAGACTGGGTTTGTTCTTGTTTACTTGATAGAATGGCTCACAGAACTTGTTTGGATTTAAGATGGTTCTATTTCAATCATGGAATAATTTGGTAGTTGAAAATTCAATACAGGACATTTGCATGCTTTACACGATCAATCATCTAAAGTGAGCAATTCTTGAAGGTAAGCTAGGAAATTGAGAGGATTATGCCCCGAGGAAGATGCCTACATCACACAATTGAGGCTCAAATCCTGTGTTGTTTTTGCATCAACTTATAAACAATTTGGAGACTAGGTTCATCTTAATCCTTCAATATTTGCCTTTAAAGAAACATAAGGCATTATCATTTCAAATATTGATGCTTGAAGTTTGAAGTTTCTTTCATTGAAAGTCCGAATGAATATTTTAAAGGACTTAGAATTATTAGTTCACAGAGTAGCTCTTGTTAAGTTTCTAGTCACTACTTATTGGAATCCAGCCTTGCATGATGAGCTTATCATAAATTCAAGTTCTTTTCTCTCCCTTTTAATCTGCAAGAGTCTGTGCTTTGGTATTTGTGTTTTTCATTTTTGGTGTTATAGTATTCTATAATCAAAATGAAATCTGTCAGATTTATAAACAAAATGTATTAAATGAATTTGGTTTAAACCTTAACATTTAATACATGAATGGACTGATTTTTGAGTTCTTTCTTTCTGGAATGCTATCTCTTGCTACTGACTCTTTTTTGGTCATCACTTGCTTCAGGAATTGTGGCATAGAAGATTTCTTATTGGCATCTCAGAAGGTGATTTTAGGTGAAGTGATTATAATGAAACAGGTTGAAGGAATGAATTCCAGACATATCCCTCATCAACTTATATATAAATATGTATCAGCTTATAAGGAATTTCAGACATGAATGAAAAGAATTCTTTTTGAAGGTTTGAGGTACTGATTTTTGTATAACCTGCTTCCCTTTCTTGGCAATTGATTGAGATGTAAGTCAGATTTCGGGATGTACATGGAAATATCCACTCCAATTAACCGCGGTATTCATCTCTCCAGCAAGATGGTGCCACTGGCCGTAATTAAAAAAATCATATTGATTATATATATCTATATATATATATTTATTTATTTATTTATTTCCTTTTCATCCACTGTAATCTCTAACAAATTTGCTGCTCTTGTTTGTGTAGCTTTTATTTTCTTCTCTTTTGGGATTTGTTTTGCTCTCAGCTTGTATGGTTCTGCTTGATTTAGTAGTGTGAAACAAGAGAGTGATACCCACCTTAAATCCTCATCTAATAAGTTACTGGAGATTGTCTATTCATATATTTGCTTGCCCTCCTCATCAAATTTCTTTTTTTAATAATGCTTTTGCCCTCTCTTATCCAGAGTAAAATAACACAGAAAGTCCGGGTAAGCCCTAGTTCCTATTTGTTTGATTTTTTTTTTTTTTTTTTTTTTTTCCTTCTGTATTTTTACATGCCTCAACAAGTATAATTCCTCTCTCTCTCTGTCTCTGTCTCTGTCTCTCTCACACGCGCGCGCACACCAGGGGGATATGTGATTTTTTTTTTGGTTAAAACTAGTTGGATATGTTGTGTTATCATTCCTAGCCAATTTTAAGATCCTGCACGACACATAACTTTCTTATACAAAGTTCTGGGCCAAGCAGCTTCAAATGGCCCATTTTACATAGGGTGCTTTATGGTTTACCAGATATTATTCAATTTTTGGGTTTGTGAGTGTTATTTACCTTTTCTTTTTCCTTATGATGATCCATTTTTTGAATTTTTTTTTATTTGAATTTTACTCAAGGAGACTATTACTTACAGAGATTTTTGAGGGAGACTGGATTCGGACCTAATATAATATTTGCACAAAATGTCTACTTTTAGGCTGGAATCTAGATTTTCGTACTTGACCAATGGAGCTCTTACTTAGTACTCCAAACAATTTAATTTTACTTACAGAGATTTTTGAGGGAGACTGGATTTGGACCTAATATAATATTTGCACAAAATGTTTACTTTTAGGCTGGAATCTAGATTTTCGTACTTGACCAATGGAGCTCTTAGTACACCAAACAATTTAATTTTACTTATAGAATATAGAAAATGTTTTTTTTCCCCGAAAATTAATATAGAAAATGTTGAGTAAATCACAATTTAATTTTTCAAAAAACAAGAGTCGGAGCTTTGTGCTGCAACTTGACCAAACTGCAATTTTCAAACTAGCTGCATAGCTCATGTAACGACCCTAGCTGATGCCAAAATTTAAAAAAAAATTTGGCATAATCTCCCCTAAAAATGGGCCTTCAACAACCTGTCCCAAAACATAAAACACATAATATCATCCAGCATCCCATTCATCCATTCATTATACCTCAACATAGTTCCTCTCATGGTGGAACATCCACACACCAATTAATCTAAATTAACATAATTACAGTCCCAAAATATGTGATTAAGATCTAAAGTCCATGTCTTACAACGTTACATGATACAATTACATGCAAATATATACCATCATTCCACTAGTTTCATTTACATTAAACAAAAGATAAGTTCGTTCTTAAATTACAAGGCCATGAATACTAACTTAGTTACATTTCCACAACTATGAATATACATAGAATGGTCAAAATACAAAATAGCAAACAACCTTCTAACAACTTTCAAGTTCGCGGAGGATTGTCATCCGCCGTTTCTTTGCCATGACCTGAAAAAAATAATAAGTATGTAGGGTGAGCTATATGCTCAGTAAATGACACTTAAGACACGCATCTTGTGTCCCCGTGTATCCAAACATAGAATAGGTCAATGGGAATGGGGATCATACAATATCGGGATAATACAACATTCCAATCAAACTCAAGTACAAACAATGCAATGCCATGAAATGCGAATGCATGCCGATGTCGCTCCCCATTTTCACATTTAAAATCCATCTCTTTCAAACTGTTAATATAACCCACCCTTTGGTGACCCCGCAGCGACACGAGAGGAGGATTGGCTAGTGTCCCTGACCCTTTGGTAACCCCGCGGCGTCATTATGGGGCCCAGCTAGCTCAACCACACTAGGACAACTCTCTAGTCCCCTCTAGGCTATATTAACACTCCGGCCCTTTGGTACTCCCGCCGCAACCGGGTTTTTATAAAACCATTTCGTAAAAACTCTTTTCCCAAAATTTCCCTTTTTGTTTCAAGCAAATTCTCCCATTTCACGCAAATCCAATGGTATGTACATGTATATATATCCCATACTTTCAATATTATGACATTTAGAATTTTACACCACATAATTAAGCATACATCATATTTAACATCTCTAAATGAATTATCAACACATTAAACACAATTAGACAACACAAAATTTTACACCACAAAATTAAGCATACATCATGTTCAACATCTCCAAATGAATTATCAAAACATTAAACACAACAAGACAACCTCTAAGCATGCTTTTCTACTCATATTCATAATCATGAATTTTCCTAAACATCATTTATATAATCATTGAAACAATTAACTTCCAAATTAAACATGCTTGTCACAACAAGAGAGATATAATTCACAATGGAGCAAGAAAAACATGGATTAAGAGCCCCTACCTCTAAATTGAACAAAACCCTTGAAATTGGGTCCTAAAATTCGATCTCCCAAAGAGGATCAAAAGCTGGAATTTCTGGTACTAGCACGTAGAGCTCGTCGTGCTCGTCGTTTTGCCTCAAACGGCACCTAAATCCACCAAGAATTGAGAGAGAAATCAAGGATTGAAGTTGAAAAAGAAAAAAGAAAAGAAAAAAAAAACAGAAGCAGCGAGAGAGAGAGATATAAGCTGCCGAGAGAGAAAACAAATTGGAATTAAATGGGTTTGCAATGACCCTTATATCTCAGGTGGGCCCCACAGTTGAAAAGTCATTATACTAATTATATATATAGATAAGTCAAAAACTTTACATTGGATGTTCCACCATGAGAGGAACTATGTTGAGGTATAATGAATGGATGAATGGGATGCTGGATGATATTATGTGTTATGTGTTTTGTGTTTTGAGATAGGTTATTAAAGGCCCATTTTTAGGGGAGGTTATGCCGAATTTTTTTTAAATTTTGGCATCAGTTAGGGTCGTTACAAATTTGGTATCAGAGCAATGGTTCGAATACCATTAGGACGACGGGTAGAGGCTTGCCTAGGGTTGTCTGGGAAGTCATTTGCATTGTTATTTCCTTGTTTGGAAAAGTGTTTTGCTATGTGAAAAAGCATGCTTAACTACTTACTTGCTTACGTGCTTATGTGTTTATATGCTTGCATTAATGTGTTCATTGCATAGTATTACATGCTAAATGTTTGTACAGTATGTTTTTGCGTTGGGTTGTTCACGGTTGGACCTTAGTGTTATCGTTATTGAATTGTTTCCTTTGTTTTATAGAACGATGTCACGATGTGAGGAAATCAGGGAAGTTGGCCCTAGACCGACTAGGGGTGATGTTGGCGAGAGCTCCAGCTCCAATCCGGATGAGCTAAATGATGAGGACACACTTCTTAGGGACTTAATTCCCCCGAGAGTTGTCCCCACAAGGAGGGATAATGTTGAAGCACCCGTCGAAGTGGGTAAAGGTTCTGTGGCACTGGAGTTGAATCGTTTGTTGCAAAATGTCGTGAGGGCAATGATTGCTGCTCAGTCGCAGTCGGCACCACAACCTACAGTTCAAGTTGAGGAGACGCCAGCTCAGAAGCGTCTCAAGATTATTAAGGGGTTTTCTCAGCTGATGCCAGTTATGTTTGAGGGCGGTGCGGATCCGATGATAGCAGATGACTACATAGAGCAAGTTGAAACTCAATTGACTTCTATGAATGTGACAGAAGATCATTTGAAGATCATCCTAGCTACTTATAAGTTTGCTAAGGATGCTAAATTATGGTGGAAGTCGGTTACGAACCGATACAAGATAGAAGAGATGAGTTGGGACAAGTTCAAGGAATTGTTTTATGAAAAGTACTTTCCGCTTTCCAAAAGATGGGAGTTACAAGACCAGTTTCATAACCTTATCCAAGGGAGCATGTCAGTGGCAGAATACGAAAACAAGTTCACTTCACTTTCTCGCTTTGCTCTAGAAATGGTGAGAGATGAAGTTAACAAGACTCGGAAGTTTGTTTCTGGTCTTAATGATCGGATGAGGCCGTTGATCACGACACAGTTCATCAAGGTATATTCTGAAGCAGTGTAAAGGGCTTTAATGTTAAAAGCGGATAACAGAGATAAGGATACGAGAAGGGAACAGTGGAAGTAGAAGAGGGGTGCAGGGCCATCCTCAGAAGGATCTTCTTGGAAGAAGAACAAGGGTGGTTCATTTCAGTTTCAGGGGCAACAATCTACACGATCTGTTCCTACCACTCCTATGCCAATTGGATCTGACAAGGGTGAAGTTGTTTGTTATCAATGTCAGCAGCCTAGGCATTACAAGTCCAGTTGTCCTATGAGATTGACTTCAGTTTCTTCAGCTCCGAAGGCTTGTTATGGGTGTGGCCAGCAGGTCCATTTGATTCGGGACTGTTCGAGTCAAGGAGCAGGCACCACTAGTGGTAGAGGGTCACGGCAGAGGCCATTACAGTCGGCTACGGTTCAATCAGGTTTCAGACCACCGCCGCCACCACCACAGCCTGCCTTGTCTTCTCAGGGTTCACGACCAGCTAGGAGGGATACTCCTACTGTGTCGGCACAACAGTCTGGTGTTCAGATTAGTAGTTCACAGGCACAGGCACCGCAAGGGCGTGTCTTTGCCCTTGCACCGACTGATGCATCTCCTGGATCATAAGTTCTCCGAGGTATATTTCCAGTGTTTGGTTCTTGGGCCCGTGTTTTGTTTGATTCTGGTGCATCTCATTCTTTCATTTCATCATCATTTGCACTTGCATCGGGGTTAGAGGTTAGTTTTATGGATCGGGCATTATGTGTTGATACGCCAGTTGAAGTTTCAGTGTCTTTAAGCCGAGTCGTGAGGGACTGTTCCATTGTGATAGCCGGGCGGACTTTTGTGTTTGACCTTATCCTCCTGGAGATGACTAGCTTTGATGTCATTCTCGGGATGGATTGGTTAGCTTCTTTTCATGCCACGATCGACTGT